GAAACTTAGACCGAACACGTGCCTCGAAGCGTCGGCATTGCCTTTTAATAAACTTTGCTGTTTTTCTTGCAGCCAAGATGATGACTAAAAATAGTTGCCGCTAATATTTTTGCCAACATAAATTTCACACTCGCATAAATTCCATTAAGAAAAATCAGCGACGTGCGACGGGCATACTGAATAGCTTCCAACTCCGGCGGGAAAATGGATAGCAAAGCGAGTGGGTGTATCTGTGGATAGTGGGACGAAGGGGGAGGTGCAGAGGGCGAGTGAGGGTAAAAGTGCGGGAAGGGCCACGGAGTGCAAAGCAAGTTGCCTTGACAGGATTCCCACGCGCTTATGGAATTTCCAGTTTTTGAAAGTGGAGACGCTGCGTCAACTGTTTCTGCTACTGTTACTAGCGACGCTGTCATAAAATGAAACTTAATGGCACACACACACACACACAAGCACACAGATATATAGATAGACATACCATATATATATAGATGTATATGTATATAGTAGTTTACAACAAATTGCTGGATAGTACAAATATGTATTTGGGATAGGAAAACAACACAAAACGCAGAACGCAAAACGCCCACGCGTGCAATCAGCTAGCTCTGCCAACTAGCTAAACCAACAAACAGCGACATATACTATACACACTACACACATAGGCAAATGTACACAAGCACAAACACACAGACGCGAGACCATTTGTCTGACTGTGTGTGTGTGTGAGTGTGCCTAGCGTTCTCAATGAATGATTTTTGAAGCAGCCACAAGAACGAAAAAGAGTGCCATGACCAACACTCAGACCAAACGGCACACACACAGACAATTGTCTGCCACAACCAATGTGTGTGTGTGTGCGATTGTGTCTCGCGTAGGCGATTGCCGCCAAAAACTGAGCTCAGTTGCCATTCTGAACGTTGGCTCATTGTTCCATTGAGAGCCGATTGCGGCAAGTTTGCAATTTTATTGCTAGCGCAAAAATTTGCATTGGGGTTTGAGGGCAATTGAAGGCAATGAGAGTAGATGCTGCTGCTGCTGCTGCTGCTGCTGCTGCTATTACTACCACTCCGGCTATAACTAAAGCTCTTTGGCACGTCATCTTCAGCGCGCATGATGTCAGTTTATAGCTGCGCTGCTGTCCGATTCGATTAGCGGCATTTAACTGGAATTGGAGAGCAGGTCAACAATGAGTCCGACTTTTACATTGTCTAAATGATGACAACTACTTAATAGTAGTATTTAATAGTTGCTCTTCATTTTTATGTTTGGCTGATGTCATGGCCGCTAAACTTAGTCTTCTATAAATGTAGTTTTTTTTTACGGCAAGTCCATTATTGGCTGAGCATAATTCAATAATTATAGTATTTTCTCATTCTAAGTGGGTCATAAAAGTAAATTTGTAATAGAGTTGTAATAAAATATATATCTAGCAGCAGAAATAAAAATAAATTAAATATTTAAAAAGCCATTGGATTAATGAAAAACTCTGCAAACTTCGTTTTTTCTTTTTTATTTAATTGTATCTAAATATAAATTAGATTGCTTGGAATGTATAGCCAAATATACACCTTTAACTATATTTCTTATGCATACAATATTTTAAATTAATTTTAACCTCAACAACGAACATATAAATCATAGGAATATAACATTTAAAAAATAATTATTAATTAATCTAAAATATTATAAATTAATTTTTACCAACTCAATAAACAAATAAATCATAGAAATATTAAATCATAAACGCTTTACATATGATTATAATTATTTTTTTTACAATAATATGTTTTTAAAACGCTTCCACTAAAATACAAAATTTTAAAAGTACTTTCCTTAAATTTAGCTACTATTTTAAGCTATTTTTTTTTTGCAATATTTATTTTTAGCAGCCGTCCGACTGCCAGGTTGAACATCCCCTTATTGTTGACTGACTCGTTGCATTTATACGTTTAACAGGACTGTGGCACTTTTTTCTCTTGTTGGTCACAATTTCACAAGGCTGACAGTGAGAATGTTGGATTTTGAAAAGTTTTTTCGTCCAGTGCTCGGCCATGCATGTGCGAGCGTAGGCGTGAAGCGTATGTGTGTGTGAGCTGTAATGGAGTTAGCTGTGCAACACGCTAATTGCTGTCACCTACAGACGAATGCGCCGCAAGGTATGCAACACAATTTTACATCTTGGCTTAGTGAGCTTAGCATTTTTGCTGACTGTACTCAAAAATGTTGTGCGCTTGTTGGACGCCAGCCAAATGCCAGCATGGCAAGAGCGTATGCGTGTGTGTGTGTGTGTGTGGCACAAAATGCCAAAGACGAACGTTGACAATGGCGACACACACACATGCATACTCACATAGACAGCGACGTAGCTGGTTTCCGTTTGTGCGCGCGCGGAAGTCGTCGCCATCTTGCATTGGTCATCCTGCGCCCACTCGCCGCAGCATCGAGGCAGAAATTATGGCAGCATTTGCCACAAATCGTGCGTGTAAAGTGATGTCATTGCTACCGACCGACGAACGGACGGACGGACGGACCGACTGCATGCGTCAGCGTTTTTCGCATGCCCAGTGTGTGTGTGTGTGTGTGTGTGATGCAATAATTGTGCATCTCAATCGAGAAGGCAAACTTCTCTCATTGTGTATCTGTTAAATGTATCTGCCACTGCAGCTGTAGCTAAATCTATATTTGCATCTGCACATACATATGTATATGTATGTGTGTATCTATTGCCGCGCATCAATACTGATGTCATCTGCAACTGCCGCGAGAGGCCACAGCACGTTAATATTTGACAATTTAGCGCCAGCTTAGGAAATCATTCTGTCAAACGTTCACCTTTGCATATTTCATGCGAAACCATAAAAAATAAAAAAACAAGAAAAAAATAAAGAAAACCGAGCAGCGGTGCGCATGTTTATCTTGGGGAGCTTGAGGTCGAGCTGGCGGGATGCAGGCCATATCGAGCGGGGCCAACAGCCGCCACTTGCTGTTTTCATTTCATAAAATTGAGCACTTTGTGCGTCTTGTCATGAATTTTTGAAGAACGCAAAGCGGCGACATCTTATATCTTTCTTAAATTTTTGGCATTTTTTTTTTTTCTTTATACTCTGCTGCTTGCAGTCAAATGAGTAGTCTGTGTCTGTGTAAATCTCAATTTTATTTTACACTTGAATAATATCTATTTATATTTTCATTTGATATATTTTTGAAGAATTCATATTGATATGCTTAAAATGAAAATTAATCATAGCTAGCAACGACCAATGAAAACTCAACATCTTTGCCAACCGACAGGTTTAATGTGATTAAATGAGAGCTTATAGGAAATCAAAGTATTTTGAGATATATACATACATATATTAATATAGAATTATTTATAAATGTTAATAAATATAAAAGGAATTTGCAGGAATATTCTCAACAAGATAGTAGTAATATATTTAAGAAAATTATATTGAAAAATATACATTTATTTATATTTTAGAAAAATTAAATCTATAAAGTTTTAATATGTTCATAAAATAATATAAAATATATAAAGATTTAAAAAATACAAATTTGTTTTTATATAAAAAAAAAAGTCAGCTATAATGTTATTTTTATTATAAAAAAAAAATATATTTAAAAAAAAAATATTTCAAAAAAATCTTTATTGCAATTATTTATTCAGCGAAAACAGAGTATTCCACAGTTGGGTGATTCCCCCTGTTCTTTAGCTTTTCATGCTTTGTATTTTGATATGCGCTGTTTCATCAACAACTTGTTTTGTTTTTTTGCTACTGCTGCTGCTGCTGTTGTTGTTGTTTTATTTACAGTCTCTCTAGTTATTTATATTGCAGAGCAAAGCATTTAAGATAATTAATTTAGGCAATTACATACACTTCTCCAGTTTCGCCAGACGTTACAAATTCATTTATTAGATTTAAGTTCGGCTCGAATTTCAATTATCGCAAAATACAAAAAAAAAAAAAAAAAAGAAATGTGGAAACCAAAATTAATACAAATACCATTTTTAGAATATTTCTACAATTCCAGCAGCACTTGCAACAGTTAATTTTGCTATTTTTATTCACCATGAAATTGCCAACAAATTTTCTGTTCTGTTACATAAAACTCTCTTCCTCTAAAATGTCAAATGTTTTCTATTACATAGAAATGTAATTATGCTCGCGATTTAATTACAAGTGAAAGGGTTGCTAAGGCATATAAAAATAAATATAACACCTTTGTCATTATTTACAGCTTGGATTGCATAAACGTGGCACATTTTTGCTGCGCAAAAGTTGAGATAATTCTCATTTGTTCTTGTTTTCAATGAAAGTTGACAGGAATTTGGAAGAGAAGCTCGACACGCGCGTAAATTAGCTTTAATTAAATTGTGAACTGAATGGAGGAGAAAATAAGCACAATATAGTGAATAGGAGCTCAAATAAATAGATAATAATATAATGAATAATAATATACAAGTATAATAAACCATTAATGACTGCAAGCACTGAATATAATAATAAATAATATAATAAATAATAAGTATTCTCGGAAAACTTAACAGATGTAGACTTACACATTTAAAATCTTAAATTATATTAACAAACAAAAATTTATTTCGTTAAAGTTAATTTTATTATAAAAATAATGTTTCTACAAAAATGTGATTTTCAGTAACCAATAAATAATATAATGTAAATAATTATTTAAAAAAAATAAGTAAATAAAACAAAATTAAAGATTATTTTTTAATTATATGGAACACTTTATTTTTAATTATTATTATTATTATTATTATTATTTTTTTAATTTAAGGGTACAGGAGATATTACCCTATTCTACTTGGACATACTATAACAAAAATAATTTTTAGCGTAAATACATTTGCTTTCTTTTTGTTCACTGCCTCAGCAGACATTTCTCTAAACGTCAAGTTTTAGACAACAACCATAGGCGTATTTTGTTTAGTTTTATTCTGAGTGATTATAAAGACGAAGCAATTAGTTTTCTTGAATATAAAAAGTAAACGAAAATTATTTTCAAAAATATGGAAAAATGTCGACCATATTTAGCTGTATTTCCCAAGGGTGGGCTGCCAAAGCTAGTGACAAATGTAAAAGAATATACAACGTAAGTGGAAAATTAAACAAGTAATCTTAAAGTCTTCATATGAAAAGTAATGAATAAGTATTATTACTTATTCAGGTAACAAAATAGACTTCTAAGCAAACAAGTAAGTTGTCAGTTTAGCCAATTTCAAGCTAGACTTGGGCTCTTTGATAAAAAATCATTTGAAAACTGGTATGGTTTGAAATAGCTAGAAATTAGGGCAGACTATGCTGAAGTCCTAGTCTTAAAGAGCTACAGGCCAGAAGAGCCTTATGCCCGCCTATTATAAATATTATTATACATAAACTATTGTGCATATTTTGATCAGCGAATAAGCTAATATCTGTTCGTATGTCTGTCGGTATAGCTATCTCTCTGTTCATCTCACATTCTGTCTCTCTGTCTGCCTCTCTGCCTAACTATAGCAAGGGATGTAGAATAACTATAGAAGATCACTTAGTTGTTTATATGTATGCAGCAGTAGAGAGAGCAGAGAGTGTTCCCATTGATCACTCGCTCGACTGCAACGAGCTCTACCTGGCGCCGAGAGGCAGTGTTTGAGTTAAAGTAGACTTTCATAAAGAGCAGCAGGTTTAGCATTTATTCAGTCGTCCAGGCCTGGTGGGGGTCAGTCGTGCAGTGCAGTAAAGGAAAGTGGAGTAAAGTATGTGATCGTTTAGCTAAGTATTAAAGACGAGAGGAATTACTAAAAGAAAGCTCTTAGAAGATTTTACTCAGAGAAAAGACTTAGAGGAAATATAAAAAATTTCCGGACGAAATAGACTGACGGACAAGTCTTAATTGACTCAGCTCGGCGCTCTGATCACGAATTTATACACTTTATATAGTCTGTCACGCCCTCTTCTGCCCGTTACATTAAAAAAAATCAGACCTTAATTTCCCATTTGTTCTGGGCATAAAAAGTCCGCCTATTTTTTAGTTTAGTTACTTGTAGATTATAAGCTTTATATAAATAACTTTATAAATAATTTTTGATCTCAGTGATCTTGAGCCGGAGCTGCACCTTATGGCAAAGGCGTTCGCAGAATTCGAGTCAGGTAGTATACAGCCCAAACTGTGTCCCAGAAAGTGCGGCGACGGATGGTGTACCAAAACGTGCGACGAATTGACGTGGGCGCGTAGAAATGAAGAAATCCCGTTAGGACATGTCGAGAAGCCATTGAAGCCATTAATAATGAAACTGCGGCGTGGCGAGGATCCGGACACAATTGTGATGGTCGAGTTTCGCGAGTTCGCCTGCTCTGGCGCAGTCCTGGGCGCCCAATCGATATTCTTTAGCAAATTGCGTGGTCACCCGGTGGTCGATCTGCGGCGTAGCCCAATGTCGGCCAATACGTTTGAGCTGGTGTACAAGTGGCTGGTGCAGAAGGATTTCACCTTCAAGCCGGGCGATGTGATGCGCGTTGTACGTGCTGCCAGCTTTCTGGAGATGAAGTATCTGCTGAATTATTGCTACACCATACTGGAAAACGATCTATTTAGAGAATTTTGGGCGTTTAACAACTTGATAAAATCACGAAACTTCATTGAGCTAGTTCAAGTCAATCAATCAATGGCTATTCGCATTTCAAAGGCCGCACTGATCATGCTCGTCAGCCAAGAGTTTCTGACCCTCAACGAGAATCAGATCTGTGCGCTGTGCGACTCCAGCTCGCTGGCCATCAATTCGGAGAGTGAGGTGGGTGCCATGGGAATAACAAGAATTTGTAATCAGTTTTATCCCCATTAGCTTCTGTATGGTGTCTTGCACTGGCTAAATGTCGACTGGCCCGCTCGACGATCCTCCGTGCTGAAAGTGCTAAAGAATATGCGCTTCGCTTATCTGTCACCCAAGATCCTATGCCAATTCAATGGCGCCTCCACGGGGCTGTTTTCCAATGTACTAAATGAGTTCGCGAGTCACCCGGAAAGCAAACGGATAATCGAGGATGGCGTCTTCCACAGCACCTTGGTCATAACTCTGAATGGGGATCCCAACAAACTGAAGGACTTTCCCAATACCAGAAGGGAGCTGTTGATGCCACGCCGCTGGATCAAAGACGCCCGCTGCCCCTACCATCGACCCGTGACCCGACTATGCCCGAATATGCGTTATATCAGCTATGAGGAGTTCGCTGATTACTCTGTGACGCTGACGGAAACCGGTGCTGACTACGAGCAATATTTTGAGTACCCAGAGAATGAGGAGCTCAGCGAAACATCGTCGAACGTTTCTTTAGTTTCAAAGGGAAGTATCAATGATTTAACCCCATCCACGTTATCGGTCTGGAGCACTGATTCACTGTTCTATTGGGTCCGTTCCGAATGCAGTCAAAACTTTCAAATGGACGACCGTGAAATTACTTCAATCAGTTCTGGCAGAGGCGTTTCGACAAGCTCCTCAGCGACTTCCCAGGCAGATGTGGTTGTTGAGCACTTGGAAGAAAGGATTAAGAAATTTGAAGTCCCGGACATATGGGAAGAGTGGTCGGATATCTTTAATGATGAAGAAGCTACTGATATAAAGGAACTTGATATGCTTGGATAATGTTAAGAATTTAACTATGTTTTAATATTAATAAAAGAATTGTAATTTAAATGAAAGCTCTCGTTCATTTTGCTCTTGAATGCATCAAAGTAATTTAAGCCTAGGCATTCAGCTTAAGTTAGTTATCGCATTTAAGGTGGGTGCCAAGGTACTAGGTGTTAAGTGTTGCGGCGCATGTCCTGACACCTGAGTGCGGCCACCTTAGACGCTGCTTGATACACTCACACACTCACAGGAATACTACCTTCAGCACACATTCAACACTCGCCTGAACAAGTGCCCGCCACATGCTCCTCGTATATCAAAAAAGGTAAACGCGTTGAATTTTCCATTAGGTTGAAAAGCATTTTCGGCACACGTGGGCGGGTTTGCTTTTTTTGAGCGTTGGCACATCATACATATTGGCAACTGTGGCGTATGCGTAATATTTTAGGTAAATAACAGGCGTCGAGTTTGGTTTCTAAGTGCCGCATGTAAACATAAAAAAAAAACGTACTTAGTCAGCATTTTGTTTATTGGCCCCCAAAAGCCAGAGAGAGCAACCAAAACGAAAAGAGAGAAAGCCAAAAAAAAGGTTGACAACTGAGGCGGCAATTGCAGCAACACTTTGAGCCCCACACATGTGATATGCGTAATGCTTGAGCCTCTCTCTGTTTGCTCTGCCCAAACTCAATTAGCCAGTGAGCCCGAAAGGCCTCAATCAATACAGTCTATCCCAGCGAGCATTCACATTCACATTCCCAACGCCATTGCCATTGCCATTGCATGAACTTCTCCAAGTTTTTTCCTAGCGGAAAAAAGTTCTCTGAAATGTATGCTTATTGTTGAAAATTGAATTGACTCTTTTTAGACGCTGGCAAAAGTTGCCCCCAGACAAGCAACACGAAACATTCGGAGAAACAAAGTTGTTGCTGACGTGGCAAAAGTATTTGGAAGGAGCGAGCAAAATTAACAAACAACATATGAAATTGGGCGTTTGAATTGGGAAGAGCTAAAGGATATAAGGTTTCAAATATGTTCTTAGTATTACACCATTAAAATAATAATTAAAAATATATTTTGGTTCTTTGTGCAAACTTGCAAAAAGTTTTCGAAATCTTTGAAATTTAAAGCAAACTTTTAACTGCTCATTATGAGAAAAAAAAAAACAATTATTAAATGTAAATGATATGGAGGGCTAAATATTTTATTATTTTTCTTATCTTTGCTTTAAAAGTTCAAGTTTTGGATAGAAAATTAGCGATCATTAGTTTCTCTAGGGTCGATCTAAGCCAAGCTGAGCTGCTGCTATAAAAGGAGAGAGAAATGAAACGAAATATTCGTAATCTCTTGAAAGGCAAAAATTCTCTTACTGATACTATTAATTACGACGCTCAACTAAGTATTTATTGTGTTCAGCATGCTTCATTTAAATTTAAGAAATACAAGTTTAATAAAATGCTCTTTTCACTCACCCGCTCAATGGTTGCACCGTCAGCTTATTTATATGGATTATTCTATTACACTTTCTTTGAAATAAGTTTAAAGCTAATTGGCCAACACTTTCAAAGTCGATTGCGAAGCACGTCTACAATAAAGTGCAGCGATTAACGTTCAGCAATTTACTCTCGACTTGCGCTTGCAAAAAGTAAATATAAAATATAGCTGCCTTTAATTAAACAATGGAACAATTTTTTTTCTATACATAAATAAATATATATAAAAAAGAAATATATAAAAAAAATAAATGTATGTATAATGGAATGAATATACATAGATAATAATATGTAAAAAAAAGAAGATACATATAGAAATAAATATATTAAGAAATAAATATATGAAAATAATTAAATATGTAAAAAATTGAATATGTAAAGAAAAAAAATATAAAACAAATAATATATACAAAAATAAATATCGTATGAATTAAATAAGAATTTACATAGATAAATAAACAAAGAAATTAAAAAAAAAAAAATTATATATACAAATAAATAAATAATAATATAAAGAATTAAATATGCAAAAAAAAATAAATATGTAAAGAAAAAAATATGTATAGAAGTAAATATTTAAATATGTGCGTTGCCTTCATTGTTGCTCTGAACTCTTCAGGTCTTTGCAATTTGCATATGTTAAAGATTCGTGAAACACATTGGCCTTAAATGCACATAACCTTTTTTATAGGGCTCGATTTAAGGCTGATTTTATGAGCGCAACGCTCGTCGTCGTCTGTCGTCTGTCGTCGCTCTTTTGCTCGTTATATGGATGCATTTATGTTAGACTCAGCACACACATTTCGTATATTTCGCATAATTCTTACACTTCACTCATTTTCGGGGCGCTAAACGCGTCTGTGCACTAATTAAATTTGCGTACGTCTAAAAGCAGGCGAGGCTATGAGCCTTTTTTATGTTAATAATGCAGGCATAAGCGAAGTGCGATTGAAGAGTTGTTGAGAAAATATATACTATATATAAATAAATAATAAATAAATATATTATAAAATAAAAATAGATCTGCCTTAAAATATAAAAGTTTATCAATATTTTATATTATATATAATTTTAAAAATATTTAATATTAAAAAATATAATGATAAATATTTAATTTGCACGTGTGTTAGTTTTAAAATTAAATTTTTTTATACTCTTTCGTTTAACTTTAAGCTCTGTTAAATTGAGCCTTTCTAATATTATTTTGCTATATAATCAAATATATCTATAGATAAAAAAAAAAATTAGAATATACTTATATATTTCTTTGTTATTTTTTGCGATCATTATCTAATTAATTTTTATTATATATACATATACATAGTTTTATATAGATTAAATGTTTACAAATGATATCATCTTCCATTTCAATGTCAGTTCGTTTAGAAGAAGATGAATTTGCAGCATTACATTTATCCCAAAAATGATTCTTACATATTTAATTACTTAGCAATCAGAAAAGCCATTGAAATTATCAGCTTGGTATTAAGACTAATAATGGGAACAGGCTCGATTAATTTCTTAGCCATACCTCGCATGCCTTGAAGCTTGACAGTGGTGTGTGTGCGTGTGTGTATGTCGGTGTGTAAGTGTGCGTGTGGCATACTTTTAGAGTGGCAGCGCATGGCCATAAATCAGCGATGCTGCCGCCAGCCGCTGTTAAATCAAAGCACGAAACCAAACTGACATGCATTATATATTTATATATCAGTGCTCCGGTTAGCAAGTCGACTGCACACACACACACACACACACAGTCATGTTCAAACACACGCGCATGTAAGAAAGGTGCCCCACAGATATATGCGAACATTTAGCAAACTTGTATATCGCATTTTTGCTTTATTATTGCGACTTTTTTATGAGTTTTGATGCGGCTTTAAAATGTCATAAATGTTAAAAACAAATACGTTGATAAATCCTCAAAGCACACAATGCTGCTGGCTAAGGTAAAAACAAAGAGGGCCAATGCCAATGGGTTAACAACGCCCACTACCCAAATCCCCAGGCATCTCCAATGACGTGTGGGCGTGGCCGCGGGAGGAGGGCCAATCGGAGGCACAGCTCTCAGCCCGAGTGCCATATCCTCACGCATTGATGCACATCATCAATTTTTAACGAGCTACTTCTACGTGACCCGCCCACTCAAACACAGAGCCATGACGTAATCGCAAGCCGCTGATTGTACCTATTGGATATGTACACACATATTGACATTGGGGCACACACATGTACATAAATATTGCCTACAAATATATCTATCGGCATAAATATACACGCGCATGTGGCTATAAGATCACATAACACGATATCATGCATGCGCTGAGGTTTAACGGCGCGACACCCATAACACTCGAGCCGCATTGGCAAAATACATCAAAGTCCAATGTGTGCATCAGGCGAGAAATAAGTCTGTTTCAGCAGCCAGGCTGCAATTGGCTTGGCAAAGGACGCTGAGGATGCCTGAGGCACTGCAGACATCAGCAGCAACTCTGCAGATTTCAGCTGAACGTAACCCACCACCTGAATGTGCAGGCAAAATAAAACTTTAACCTTTAATTAACCCGGCAAAGATTACACTAAATATTTTTCTAGCAAAATGTTATTCTTAAGTAATATAAATTTATAGGCATACATAAAAGTTTGGGTAAGGACAAATTTAATAATGTGTGGTGTTGACCAATTTTCAGCAACAATTACTTTTTTATTATTACTTGTATATTTATTTTTTATTTATTTACTTCTTATTAATTTTGTTATTAATTTATTCAATTTTATATTATTTATTTTATTTCATTAATTTATTTTCCTTGATTTTTATTCTTTTTATTTCAATAAAAATGGTTTATCGTACAATGCAAAAATATATCTAAATATAACAAGAAACGGAGCACTTAAGCGGTATTTCTTACTAGAACAAATTAATGATGCAAAATAAGAAAGCGAATATTAAGGAAAACATTTTTTTTTTTTTTTTTTTTTCAAAGTAATTTCTAGATTTTTCGACCTTAACCCAAAGCAGCCTTAATCAGTGATGTATATATAAGCAAATCTGTACATCTTTCAAGTATTCCACTTTCACTTCAATTACTGTTATAAGTATAAGCATTTAATATGAAAAGATCATTTCTTCTTAATAAAAGTGGCTAACAGCTAAGTATGCCATATAATATTAAGAGATAATTTCTTTTTTCTTTTTTAATAAAGGTGGCTAACATGGAGCACAGCCAAGAATCTAGACGACTCTTGAATATAATTAAAACTTTTAAAGTAATTCTTTGTGGAAACCCACACACACACACACGCACTCACAACTCATTTAGATTCCAAGGTCAGGCATTTCAATAGACTCGAGATGAGCATTTACAATGTGTTTTATACAAAAAAAAAAAAAAAAAGATGTTTCAGTTCAAATGAAAAGTTTTTATAATGGACAACGACAACAACAACGATGCGTGGGGAAAACTTCACTCACACAGCTGCAGCTTTTTGTGGAAGTTGTTGTATAAGCGGCTTTGTAAGCATAAATTTTAATGCAACAGCAACAGCAACAGTAAAAGCAACCGCAAGCATGTTGAAATGCTTGTTGACTGTTGCCGTTTTTCCCTGTTGCTGCTGCTGCTGCTGCTGTTGTTGCCGCTGTTGCCGTTTTACCACTGCGAGCCAAACCAACGTCGCATATGCAAATGACTTGTAAGTGGGCCGAGCAAGTAAGAGAGGGAGAGAGCAAAAGCGAGATAGAGAACGAAACAGTAGCCACAGCAGCTGTTGTAGCTATGAGTTTACAGCAAAGAGCAGCCGCGACATCCAGGTAAATACCCCAAGCTATTAGCTAGCTGCGCCAGGCTTTTATTCATGCCCCCATACACGCTCACTCACATACACAAAGGTTAAAAGTTACCTTTTATGCTCACAGAGCGGCAGAGAACTTTCCAGGTACGACGGCCGCGAAACTTTACTATTTATATTTGCCTATACCTGCCAGCTTGAGCATAAGAAAGAAAGAAAGTAACATCACTTTGGACAGGCAGCGCAAAGTGCGTCCGAAAACGTTAATTAAGATGCAAAGCCCACGCGGCGTATGAGTGATGCTGCTGTGTGGGCAAACGTTGCAGTTGCAGAAGGGCAACAGAAAAAATCCGTATAAATTACAAAGGAAAGCTAAGGAAAGTGAAAACTTTTCCAATTTGCATATTACAATAGACAGGCATTGTATTTCTGCATTTGAGCTGAGGCACATTTAAATATATTCTACTTTCTACCTTTTTTTCTCTCTTTTTGATTAATGCTTCAGCCAGGGCCAATTTCATTTTAAGCGACGCACTCTCGCCTGTGAGTGTCCTGTGCAGAAAATTGAAAATTTATGATGAGCGCACGCTGTCCTGCGTATGTCCTGTACACATTGTATCAACGCATGCATAAAGCACATACAATAAATTTTCATTTGTGTAACCAAACAGCAGCAGCAGCACCAGCAGCGGCAGGAGTAGCAGGAGTAGCAACAGGAGCAGCCGAGCCGTAAGAGGCTCATGGGGAGTCGGCAAGAAAGCAAGTTGATTGAATTGACACGACAGCCGTACTCCCAATCCAATTCAGGCAATAACAAAAAAAAAGGAGGAATATTATAAAAAGAAAAAAAAACTACTCAGCAGTACACACACGCACACCAGTGCAGGCACTGTCTCTTTGGCTTCTTGAAGCACGCCCACCTGCCCATTCTCACCTTTGATATTTACGCTCGCTGCGGCAGCAAACCTGCAAAATTGAATGAAAATATTAAAAAATATAAAGGAATACAAATAAGCTATATAACACATATGTGTATGCATATTACTTGATATATACATATATATAAATCTATATATGTGTATATATAATAATTGAATTTTACTGCGCATTTTTCATTTATTTGCTAATAATTTCATTTATGAGCAAGCGGCGCAAACTTAAAAATGCGTAAAAGGCGTCCAAATTTTATTACGCGCTGACATTTAAAAAGGCAGCCCGTTTCCTCGCTCCGCCTGAAAGCAGGCAACAGTTTTTGCTCAGCTCTTGTTTGTGTTCCTTTCGCTTTTCAGCTTGGCCTTTTATGCTGGTTCGCATGTTGAAACGAGTATATTCGATTGCCATTTAGATGTGTGTTCGTTACACAGATTTGGTTCTGATTATGAAGCGAATTGAACTATGAAGCTTACAAATAAATAAATAAAAAATATATAAAGTAAATAGATACATAAAAATATAAAAAATATATAAAATAAATTTTAAGACATTATTAAAAAAACGAATATATAATAAAAAGCATTTTGATTTTGACCTTAAGGCCATCAAATTAATTTGAACTTCAAGTAAATTATTTTATTTAATGTCTTCAGATGAAATACAAAGTCCTGACTAAAATAAGAAATAAATAACTATATATTAGAATAACTTACAATCCAGCGTATTTTTTATATACTATTATCCCCTTTAATATCCCCATAGCTCGGTATGGGATTCGGCTCATTTATTAATATACCTCCCTGTGTTGTTATGGTCCTGTTTTTTGTTTGTACCGGTTCTACACTTAATAAAATTATTAAAAAAAAAAAAAAAAAAAAAAAAAAAAAAAAAAAAAAAAAACATTATCCCCACTTTGTGTTCCACTATTAAATTTTAATTAACTGTAGATAAGCTACTCGAAACTTTAGTGAAAGGATATCTACAAAAATATATCTAAAACTGCTCCAACATCAAACTATTAAGGATCTGCTGTCCACTCAGAAGGTCTTCAAATCTTTTTCAAAACCAAAAAAAAAAACATGCATACATATAAATATATTTATAGACCTTAATTGCGTTATTTATTTATTTATTTTCCAACAATGAGCGAGTATTGTGAAGTCATTTTCAACCGACTTGAAAATGTGTGGAAATTTTCTTGCGTTTGCTGTTATTCTTTTGTTGCCTTTTGTTGCTTCAACAATTGGGCCCGAAGCGTTGACTTTCCTGAATGCTGCTTAAATTGAGGAGTTACTTATAATATATTTTCAAAGTTTAGCTCAGTTAAGTGTAAAAAAAAAAAAAAAGAAGAAAAATTTGGAAACACCACAACAAACCTGTTGCAGTGCTCTCAGGCAAACATCAGACAATCCCCAAGCAATTTGATGAGGCCCGCTTTATGTTTATACACATAATACGTATAGTATACATATATATGTATATCTTCAGCTCCCAGGGGCTGGCTTTATTCAGCAGCTCTTCCATTCTTCTGGCTGGCTCGATGCTCATTAATTTTATCAAGTGTCGCGGCTATATACATGACCATATCAAATGGTTTTCAGCATGCGAGGCGACAACCATACCGCCCCAGCTCCTGATCCCCAAACGTGGAAAGGTCAACGCTGAGTAGGAGCTGAATGCACTTTAAGCCGCCGCAGCGTTCCGCCTGCGGTTGGGGCACGTGTGGCACATGCTGCTTGACAGCGCACTGCTCAGGTGGAGGCGATAAGACGAGCGTACGCTCGGACGTGTGCCTGGTCTTGAGTTTTTGCGGTTAGCTTCACAGCCATCTGATGCACTTCAAGTACCGGTAAACATGTGCAAGATTTGCAAATCTGACTGACACATCAGCAGCACCGTGAAGTTAAAAGGTCGCCCGTTGTCGCAGTCACTTATCGCTGTGCCGATAGCAAACAAGATAAACTAGCAAGCGAACATATTTTAAGACAATTCCAGCTAAACTAGTCACAAGAAACTTAATGGAGGAAAACTGTAAAACTTGCCTAATGAAATTTAAAGAAAATATAGTACTTATGCTTACTTAAGGTAAAATACTTGGAGTACATACAATAAATAAACAAGAACTTTCTATGCATTAAGACATATATACGTACGTACATATATATCTGAATTCTCATGAAACCAGATTATTTATTTATTTTACTACTTTATTTACAAATTATGAGTGTGAGGGATAATTCTATTTAAAAAAATTTGCGCATCTGTGTAAGTGAATATATTTTTTTCTGACAGGTCGGAAATTATTCAGACAATCCTCGTAGTAACATGCTATGCGTTTCCCAGGAACTCGAGTAGATTCGCAGCACTTTATGCTTTCATTAAAAGTATTTAAGAAGCTCAGCAGAAGACAAGCAGGCAGATTAGATGAATAATGAGGGAGGGAAGCAGGTACTGGTGGTCTTCTAGGTAATCTATATGTACTTGTGGCCACATACTTATAAATGTTTAAATTAGAAAAATATTTAAATAAAATACATAATATATTTTATGCGTATATTTAAATATATCAAAATCCAAATATTCTTAGCTTAATAATATACAATATACATATATTGTATATGCAAAGCAAATAATAATTAAATTAGACTACAACACTCGAGAATTTACTCCTTAGAGAGGTCATGTACACTGTATTAAAATAATATATGTATATTTGTAAAATAATAAAAACGAATAAAATAAACTGCAAGAATCCACAGCATATTTATATTTATGTTCCCACAATTATTAACTTCGGTAGTTTAAAAATAATATATATTTTAGCGCTAACACTATGTTTGTTATACCATCACAAAAACTTTATAGCCCCAATTTCAATTTGCAAAGCTTCCAGGGTACACAACTCAAATATTTCAAATGTCTAACACAAAATTCTTTGCAATCAATTTAAATTTATGTCTATTATTCAACACAATTAGTAGAGATTTAGCAAAGCTTAAGTCGTTTGTGTGAATGCCAATAAATGCAATGCAAAGCCAAACAAATTATAATGAATAGTAAAAGCAATCATTAATTTTCATTAAAAATGTAAAGAACTATTTGCCTGAGAGCTTCACTTCTTTCAACTAACTTTTAGAGTACACATTTCAATTGAAATGCCTAAAACTATTTAATTCACTAGATACTCGTAGTAAATTGCAATGCCAACTGCCAGCTGCCAGTTGAGCTGGTTTTTGTGTATTTAGTTGTCAGCAGCCACAAGAATTCATTTATTTGGTGTACAGAGCACAACTGCAAACAGGACACAAAGGCAACGGCAAAGGCCATCTATGTATGCGACTTTGTTGCAATGGCGGTACAAGTGACTGTTTGGGCTGGTTGACTGACTTTGACAGGAGCCACAGCAACAGCAACAGCAACAGGACTATAAATAAGATACGACCATGTGTTTCACTGCAATTGTGCCTGTGTATATGTGTGTGTGTGTGTGTGTGCATGAAATTGAAAGAACTGTGTCACGCCTTTATTTGCTTATAAAACAGACCAGAAACAACGACAAGCTGTTCTTGTTGCTTTTGTTGTTATTATTGCAGTTGTTGTGCCTGCTATTATATCTAACTCTTGTTGCTATGTTCATAAAAGTGTCACACCATCTATTTGTGTATGTGTGGGCTTGTGTGTGTTCGTGTTTGTGTTTGTATGTGTTTGAGTAGCTTCCTGTTGCATGCTCGACTTTTTGCCTCAACATTTCCGCTTCCTTTCATTTAATATTCTGTACACAGTACATTTTTGACAATGCTGATTCCATATTTTTCACTTTGGCCTTTCCGTAGCCAACGTCAAGTTCCACAATATTTAAATAACAGACAAACGCTTTAAAACTATGTTATATTTGTGCATCTGCAGGTGGTATACTTGATTGAATCGTTATGGCACACCTGTTGCCGGCTCAAAATATGCATAGTAAATATATAGAGAGGCATAACACATGCCATAACTTTCGATTACACAGTTGCATCGTAAGTGCATGTGCTGCATAAGAGCTAGATGAATTGTATGATATGATTTAACATACTTATGCGATTTGTCCAATCGAACAAAGAGGCGGAATTTATTGTCGAGTAGCTGTCTTATGGCATCGACAGTCTGAACGAATTTATGTTATGTTATTTATTTATTTATTAGACAATAGAATTGATATCAAATTAAAACGAATTTATGTTATGTTATTTATTAGTCAATAGAATTAAAATCAAATTATAACTAGCTTAGCTTAAATTGCTTAAAATAACTTATTACATCTTAATGCAAATGGAATGAGTTCATTTAGAACTTACATTTTTAGTACGGGAAGTCCCCCTAAAACTAGTATTTTATGATGCTATCACATTAGGGCCGTTTCTTGAATACCTTAAAAGACTAAATTAGTATTAGCTTATCGAACTATTTATACAAATAATCGTTGTTATATATATCGATATTGTTATTAACAGCCATAATTTGTAGACGTTGAATTATTGCACAACAAAGGAAAAACGTTTTACACATATGTATGTATTGCGGTTAAAGCATCCAATTTGTTAAACATCGTTCGTCGATGTCCCTGCTGGTGCTTGCTTTCGACTTTTATCAGTAAGAAATTGGCCAATTTATTGCATTTTCTGAACATCGAGGCTGTGTGGCATTGTTATGTGCCCGACTTCAGTCATTAAAATGCGATTTCAATTCGCTTCGACTTCGAGCGTACAAATCGTAGCACAGGTGCAGTACATTGAACCAGCCACCTAACATCGGTTCAAAGGAAAAGGAAATTGCTTACCGTTCTCAGCATCAGCTACCGTTCTATTTTTAGTCGGGACGTTGACTGTATCACAGGGAATTGCTTACATCAAGTTCAATGCACACACGTACATGTAGTTTAGAGTTTGCAACTCAACATTTGCCAGAAGGTTAATCCCCTTTAAATGCTGATTAGTGTTGAGGGACACAGTGACTTGTTGTGTATTAGTAACATTCATTGAAAATTTTAAATTGAAAAAGAAAAAAAAAAACATTGCGCGTAAGCTTCTGCCGATAACTGCTCACGATAACATAACAATAAAGAGCCACTGATCATATGACTGGGCTTTGGTAAAATTAGATTTGGTATTTTAACAGCCACAGTTATTAAGGATTTATTAGTTGATCAGCGATCACTGATTTTGTTTTTTAATACACATCGTAATTAAAAGTTAACAGAGTTTGCCTTGTGTTAGTTTGCCATATTCAAACAAAAATAGTAAAAATGGAAGAAAACTGGAAAGATACCGCCGAGGACTGGCGGGACTCGCCTTTCCTAATCGTTCTCTACGAATATGCGGTGAAGAATGCCGGCATTCCTTCGGACATGGGGACACTAATCGCTTATTTATTACTATTCCTCGTCACTTGGTATGTGGTGGTCTGGGCGGCACGCTGCATTCTCTCGCTCATTTGGCCCCTGGTCTTCTGTTTGTTGGCACTGTTCCTGTTTCGGTTGCTGCGCTCATACGATCAGGAAGATCTCTTGGACATATTGTTCCAGGGCATAACCCTGGTTGCGGATACAATAGTTTTGATTTTGTCAAAGACACTGGGATTTTTCTTAAGCTTTTTACACTGACTATACATCAGTCGCATGCATTCCAAATTCTTGTACATATGTATGTATGATAACTTATTGTCACTGATTTATTAGAAAGATTTACTCCAAATTTAGTATATTTAAATATATGTATAAATATTGCAGTAAATTATGGTATTTAATTTGGGAGTTATATTTTGTATATTTAGATATGGTCACACTAGTTGCCCGGCAAAGCAGACAGCAAACAGTTTGGAAGAAGAACGAGAAAGTAAATAAATTGTTAATTGTAACAATAAAGGGTAAAACAATATTTTTGAAGCCTTATTTTCATAGAAATAAGCAAACTGGTAAACGTTGCGTGTTTCACAGTAATCTAATTTCATATTTTCAACATGCTATATAAATATAAAAACAATTAACAAAGCATTTATTTTTAGATATTTGTATGGTGCCTTGAAACCGTTGTCAATCCGTTTCTGTTTAATAAAATTTATCGACCTTTGTAGCAGCATATAATATTCTTGTAAGTTCCACAAAAATATATATTTAGAAATATTCAAAAAGCATTGGTCTCTGCCATATAAAGCTGTTGCACAATGCCTATCATACGGTTGGAATCGTCCGATAAGGAAATTTTTGATACAGACATCGAAATTGCCAAATGTTCGGAAACTATTAAAACGGCACTCGAAGATTTGGGCGATGAAAGCGATAATAGTGTGCTGCCTTTACCGAATGTGAACTCGGCAATTTTACGCAAGGTGCTCCATTGGGCTACCTACCACGCCCAGGACGATCCGCAGCAGGCACAGGAAGATGAAAATAAGGAGAAACGCACCGACGATATTTCATCTTGGGATGCTGACTTCCTAAAAGTCGACCAAGGTACCTTGTTCGAGCTCATTCTGGCAGCCAATTATTTAAACATTCAAGGCCTATTGGATGTTACTTGCAAGACTTGCGCCAATATGATCAAAGGCAAATCGCTTCAGGACATTCGTGAGACGTTTGCCATTGCCAACGACTTTACTCCAGCTGAGGAGGAGCAGGTACGCAAGGAGAACGAATGGTGCGAAGAGAAGTAAAAGAAAAAATTAAATTGATTATGATTGTAAAAATAAATTAAATAAATGATTGCGCATGTTGAATAAAACAAGTGTGAGATTGCTTTGAAAAAGGTAAATTTTTGATAAGAATCAAAAATAACCTCCATATTCGCATGTCGGAATATTTTAGAAGTAAGAAATCTTCAGTGCAGTCGATAGATGGCGCTACTTCAGCTTTAGCGGTTTTTCATACCGCGTGATTGCTGGTATTTTTGACATGCGAACTATGTATTTTTGGACCCCCCACTAATACGGTCACATTACACCTGAATTCGCCAAAAAAAAAAAAGAACCAACGAAACTAAATTTTTGATCAGGATTGGCGCATAGCAAATAAATTTGCAGTAAACTTTTCGAAATTTTTTGTGGAATTGCATTTTAACGCCAACCATAAACGCAACTATCTAGTTGCGTGACACAAAGACACAGAACCACAACCATATTTTGTTGGTGAAAAAACAGGCGGCGGCAGCGGCAGCGCATCGGCGGCGGCGACGCAACACACGCGACTTGCAAGCAGGCAAAACACGGCGAGGAGGACGACAACTAGACCAAGTGGCTTGGCCCTGTCTGAGTGTGCGTGTGTATATGCATGTATGTATATGTGCAGCTCGAGGATAAATTGAAACACAATAACAACAATGGACGTATACGACGTAAGCGACGATCTGATCAAAAAACTCAATGACTGGAAACTGATTGGCATTATATCCGGCAAATTTAATGAGCTCAAAGAAAACTACTCGAAAGTGAACTTCGTGGAGCATGCATTGATTGACTTTAAGTACATGGAAAAGATATTCCTAAATGTAACGCTGCGGGAAAGTAAATGCAACAAGCGGAGTGTCGAATTTCGCATGCTTGGCAACGAACAGTTCTCCCTAAAGAATAGAAAATACTTTCAGGCAAGTATTTTTGCGAATTATAAATAATAGTTTTTTTCTAATAGCACTTAATAATACCATCAAAAATACTCTCCTTCGTCGATAAGTACACAAATAATGAAATATCCTCCCACCACAGGCACTCGAATTGTATAACAAGAGCATTTGCTATGCGGAGCCCAACTCGGAGAATTTGTCGATTGGATATGCTAATAGGTCGGCAGTATTTTTCGAATGGAAGCGCTATCGTGAGTGCTTGGCCAACATTGAGCTGGCGCGCAAGGCCAACTATCCGGAACGGCTGCGTCATAAGCTGGACAAGCGTGAGCGCGACTGCCAGCAGTTGGTGCAGCAACAGCCGCCGGACATTGTGCCGTACAATTTTAAGATGAGCTTCGATGCACACCCGCAAGTGCCATTCATAGCCAACTGCTTGGAGATGCGCGAGACTCCGGATGAGGGCCGGTTTATAGTGACCACGCAAGATTTGGTTGTCGGCGACATCGTTGCCACTGAGGAGCCCTTCTGCTCATCGCTACTGGCGCCCATGCGATACATAAGATGCTCCAACTGCAAAGAGGAGCGCTATCTGACGCTCATACCCTGCGATAACTGCTGTTCCGTCATGTTCTGCTCCGAGGAGTGCAAGAAGCGCGCCAATAGCACTTTTCATAAATACGAGTGCCCCATTATTGACCTATTGCATCGCATGTTCAACAAAATCCATTGCATTGCATTGCGCACTACGCTGAGCGCCTTGGATCTCTACGGCAGCATTGAAGAACTGATGGCCTTCTGCGAGCAGCCGCAGAACCAGCACAAATCCGTCTTTGATCTGGACTATACGCAGCTGACACCCCAAGAACATTATCGGGCCATACACGGTCTGGTAACGAATCAGCACTTGCGCTCCGTTTCGGATCTCTTTCAGCGGTCGGTTGTGTGCGCCGTACTCAAACACTTCATCATGGAATACACGCCGCTCAAGGAGTATCTCGGTGGGGAGGAGGGTCGCAACTTCTTTACGGATCTACTTTTTAGACATTTACAAACATCACCATCGAATATGCATGGCATTGATCTTGTCGAACAGGCGAACGAGACCAAGGACGACCAGTCGCATTCATCCGGCGCCTATGCGTTTCTCTCCCTGCTCAATCACTCGTGTGCGCCCAACACGCTGCGCATCTACGAAGGCGTGAAGGCCTATTTGTTTGTGCTGCGGCCCATCAAAGCCGGCGGTGTACTCTACGACAACTACGGGTAGGAGAGACAACTCTATTATAGATCATTATACTTAATTTAATTAAAATATGTATATATGTATTGCAGCGCGCATTTCGCAGTCTTTGGCAAGAAACAACGCCAGGAGACACTGTCCATGCAGTATCGTTTCAACTGCAAGTGCGAAGCATGCGAATTGGACTATGCAAAGTATAGAAATTTGCCGTTCAAGGCATCGGTGCCGCTAGTCACGAACGACACGGACCTAAAGTTGTTGGGCGCCTACAACTACGAATTTGCATTGAACAATTATCAGAAGTACTGTGATTTTCTGACGCAAAACGCTGATGCTTTTCCCTGCGCCCAGATCAGTTCCGCCGAGGAGTGCCTCAAAATGGCGTTGCATATCCTGGTGGATGCGGTGCCCCTAAAGGCGAAAATGTAATGTGTCTGGGACACAATGCACTGACTGCCTCGCAACCCGCCATCCCACCATCTCCACAAGACGAACTTCTATATATATATTGATATATATCTATTTATATATATATTGATATATGTCTGGACAAACAAGCAGTAATTATCCCTAACTATAATTTGTTGCCATAAGTTTCCAACATTTTTGGCGGCTAAGGCAATTGTTGATTTAAATTGGCATGCAAAACACACACAACACGATTTTTAAATATTTATATATCTACTTGTGAATTTATATTTTCAACAACTTGATTGAAACAGTTTGTGTAATTGTTTTGCAAACACCTAAGAGTAAAATCGCACACTAAATGATTGACAGAAAATATTTTGGACAGCACAGCTCTGATTCAAAACCAAAACTATCAAACCAGGTCGCAAGCTCAAAATTTTTGTAATGTTGTTGGATCACCAATGTCTTCGAAAGTGCAAAACAAAAAAAAAAAAAAACTTTTTGTAATTATTTTACAAACAAATACAATATTTTTTAATTATGCATCATATGCGCTCGCTCTTTTTGCACACTAGTTGGCGCTCCGTCAAATCGCCACGCTCTCTTTTTCCCACAGGTACTTCAATGCATTTTGCTATACAAATCGATCAATTGCTGATTGAGCACTCCGCTACTGCGATTCGCAGTGGTCACCACGTCATCCGCCTTGGTGCTTGCAGTCAGCAGCTGCACAAATTCACAGCCAGAGGCGTTGGGACTGCGCTGCACTTGCGATGTTATTGGCCCCGCCGCGTTGTTATCCATGTCCGTGAACAAAATGTTAGAGAATGTTTGTTCAAACTGTTTCTGGACTTGGCCGGCATCCATGGGCTGCAAATCCTCGCCAGTGGCTGGTTGCATTTGATTAATACTCAGCTGTGCTGCCAGTTGATCTATGCGATTCGGCTCGCGTTGCTGCTGCTGCTGCGTCAATTCATTGTTCTTCATGTAGATGTTGTCGCCAATGCATTGGGCATAGTCCTCGTAGTGGCTCTGATCCATAGGAGTCAGGAAACTGCCGTCCATGGCCTGAAAGCCCAGGCGGATGAGCAAAGAGATCTTAGTATTAAAGCACTCCAGCCACGCCTTGTTGGTGCGGTAAATGGACTGCTGGTGCTCCTCGCCGCAGGCATTCCAGAAGTCCAGTAACGTATTCTTGGTGTAATCGATGAGCATATGTCGCTTCGCATCCGGATATAGTCGGCTAATGGCATCCAGATGCCGGAAAGTGATGTCCAGCAGATGATGCTGGTGCCGCGAGACAAACAGTTGCCATTTATACACCATGGTCATCAGATTCCACAGCTTCTCCATGGACGTCTCGTCCAGACGCATCAGCGAACAGGTGGCAATGTCGTTCAGCATAAACTTGCAGTGATCCGCGGTCAGTAGCTGGGCATTGCTGTGCATGGACCCATTGATGAGTGACTCAATGAACTTGGGCTCCAATAGCACCGTCGTCACATCGTGTATGACTACAATGAGTCAAAATAGAAAATAAAAACTAATTAATTGGGGCTCAATTAAAGGCGGACAGTCTTAGTAACCTTGAAGCGACTTGTCGGCCGCAATTTGTTGAGCCTTCAGACGCTGGTCAATTACATAGAGCGCCTCACAGCCCAGATTGACCAGTATGAAAACGTTGGCGCGCGGATTTAGTGGCTGGCGTGTGGACATTCTGAGGGAGCTCTGTGTACGGAACTGCGAGCGTCGACTTCTAAACGTTAACTAAGCCCAGACAGCTGCTCCCTCGCTGCGGCGCTGTGCCGCCGCTCGCATGCCACAGCGGCACGCGACCAACCACGAATAATTCTCACATACATTTATATTTTTATTGGATTTTTCGTTTCCGTATTGTTGGACAAGGGGGTCCTGTGACGACGACGATGGCGACGGCGATGTTTGATTGCTTTATGAGCACCCCGGGCAACGTCTTTTACCGCCACAATAAGTGCAAATAAAAAAAAATGCAATATGCACTGTAGCCGAAAGCTCAAATACCAGTTAATTAGGAGGATACTTATGCTACGCCTATGAAAATTCAATTTGATAATAATGATATAAGTTTCTCTCAAAGTATATTTAAGATTCTAACTAGAGATTAATATAGCTACGATTTGATATATTGGCCCTTTGATATCTATAGTTAATATACATAGGTAGCCAAACAAATGACAAAGCTAATATACCCATTCTCTGTACGGCAAGAATGGCATGTATAATAATTATGGCAGTGGCCGAAGTAGGCGGTCCGGAGTAGGGTTTTAGATGTGAAGTTTTCTTTGCCTGGCTGTCTGTCTGTACGTCCATAGTTATTGATTTCTGTTTATTTTGCAAAGCTGTTGTTGCTTACACAAAACAAGAGAAAAACAAACAATTACTGCAAACAATAAAAATGTTACTAATCTAAAAATATATGCACTACCTATTAAAAAATTGGACAACAGCCATTTACTGCCACGCCCATAAATTGCATTGTATGGTAATTTGATATTAAATATGTGGGGGGTGACTGCAAATAAAACACCTGCACTGCACAGGTGAACCACGGAAAAGGAAACAGGAAGTTGCGTGGTTGCCCGCACAATGCAATTAGCATACGACATGACGTCGGTGAGTTTTCAACTTTTGAATTGCAAAGCTTCAGGGCGCCAAGCAGTCAGCAATGGCAACGCAGTACGGTCACACTAAATCAAAAACTATTGTATTATTTTAAAATCTATACCACTAACCAGAGAACACATAGACCGGACACGTAGTGCAAAGCGTTTTGCA